TTGCACATCTCCCCCGCGCTCCTCGTTTTTTTTTTTTTTTTTTTTTTTTTTTTGTAATGGAAAGTTTTGCAAGGTTCAGGGAAAAAAAAAAATCTCGGGTTTTTTGTACCTTTAATGTGCTGTATTTATTTTCTGGATCTGTGTGCAGGGTCTGCTTCTGTATATTGGACTCTTTAGCTTGTGGAAATAGAGATACTGGTCCCAACTGTCCACATATCTTAGAAACACGGCTGTGCCAGAGTGGACAGCTGAAGGTGTGTTCTACGGGGCATAACAGCGCTGTTTAAGACGCACTACTGCAGCACTCAGCCCCCAGCTTTTCCAAGTCTTTTTCATATAGTCTTATGTTATGCTTTCGGTAAAATAAACTATGATTCGATGCCTCATGCCTTGTTTTAAGACTCTGCTTGTCCTGGTATGATGTAGTAAGCCATGACTGTTCTTAATGTGCTGTAGAAGTAACTGAGCTGTCTTCCTAAATTGCAACCTGTGTGCGTTCATAGTCATTTAGCTGGCAGGGGCCGTGTCCCTCTCAGTAAATAAGAATCTTGCTTTATTACAAACAATATGTTCTTAATTGGTAAACGCATTACTCTTTGCAGTCTGTCTTCAGAGTTTTGCAGTTCTGTTGTGTGCCTGAGAAATTCTAAAGAAGCAGCCTGCTTACTAAACTTCAAGTCTTGTGTTTTTCCCAAGTGGTAATTTACACCGATTACAGAGAAGAACCCTGAAAATATGATTCCTGAATCTTAAAGACAGAACTAACCACGTTTCACAGACAAACTGACTGCTACTATCTTGGTTACTTTGTTTCTTGGTTAGAACCCAACCCCTCCTGTTTGTTTTACATGGTGCTTACACATCTGCAACTCAGTTCTGCCCACATCTAACCCTAAAGGCTGAAGGTCGCCTACTGAACAGGAGTCACTAGATTAACTCCAGCCAGGAACTCAAGTAAGCTCAGCCCAAGAACCACTCTTTCTCAGTGGCTCAGTCAGGGTAGAAAGGGTTTCTGGCACTGACTCCAACTGCCCCCAAATGCACTCAGACTCAGAGGGGCAGTGCTGTCCACATTCCCCATCTGCAAGCACTAGAGGCTAAGGCTGGCCTTGAACTCACTATGTAGGCCACGCTGGCCTCAGACTCACAGCGATCTTCCTGCCTCAGCCTCCTGACTGCTGACATTACCTCTACTGCCATCAGGTAGGACTCAGCTCACTGTCATTTTTATGGGCTTAAAAAGGAAGACCACCACCTACTCAGCAGACTGCGAAAGTCAGAGCCCTGAGTAACCTCTGGCTCCTGCCCTCCCTGTGGGTGTGCGATCTCCTGGCCCTCGGTGCACTGCCCGTGCAAGTCTCTGCTGGTGTCACCAACGTCCGCAGCGGCCCTGGGGTATCTCCTCACAGACGCCAGGCTGCACTGGCCTCTCCCCGGTACCGTCCTTTCTCTGGTCTGCACATTTTGTTTCTGGGCCACTTCTCATTTAACTTTTTCCCACCGAGACAACAGCCGAAAGTGAACGGGCTTTCCTGGTCCCTGAGCAATCACGGCCCAGCAGCCTGTCCTTGCGCCTCATTCTGCGTGGGCATCTGGAAATAAAACCAGTCTCCTTCCATTCTGCGTCTAGAAAGTTCCACTAAAAAAAAAAAAAAAAAAAAAAAAGGCGTGGTGGCGCACACCTGTCATCCCAGCACTAGGGAGGCTGAGGCAGGAGGATCAAAACCAGGCAGCCACCGCGGAAAATTGGCGCAGGGGTCCCCAAAGCTAAGCTCAGAGCTGTCAGGGATCAAATGAGCAGACCGTGCTGCACAACCAGGTATTTTACCCAGGGCACCGACAGCAGGGCCAGCACAGACGCCTGCAGCATCCCCGCGGGACGAAGGCGCCCGCGGACTAAAACTGGGAGCTCCTTGCGGCGCTGCCAGAGGAACCCTGAGAGCGCTAGGTACTCGTCCTAGGTCTCTAGGACAAATGCACGACCTCGCCTCTGTGCGGTTCCCGGGGAGCTGGAGCAGAGCGGGTCCCCGGCAGGGTGGGGGCGCTGCTGCTTCGCGGGCTCGGTTCAGGTTTGCAGAGGCGGGGTGCTGGGGGGACCCGGGGACCCGTGAGCTGTGCTGCGCGCGAAGC